GTTTCTCTCTCTCTCTCTCTCTCGCTCTCTCGTCTATTGTGACGCGACACAATTGTTCGCCGCGACTACTGGAAACGCAATTGCAAGGAAACCTCGATATTCGAGTGTGGACGTAATTCTGAGCGGGCTCGATAACACCGGGACACCCTTCAGCCCTCAATAACCTCTCCAATAAGAATGAACCTCAATGAAGCGACGCGGTCCTGCTTAAAATGTGTGATAATTGCACGAACGAATCCGGTTTAAAAAGCTTTTCATCTCCGACAAGGAACGAAAACACGAGAAAAAAGAAAGAAAGGACAAAAATTCTATAAAACTGTTGCGCTTATTCATCTCTCTGAAACGTTCAAAAGGCACGATATCAAACAAACTCTATTCAAACTTCCCTTCGTAGTAATATAACATCTCTCCGCGGGTATCTAACAATCTTTTATCTCCGTCGTACCGTAACCACATTTTAAGCAAACCGCTCCCTCTCTCTCTCTCTCTCTCTCTCTCTCTCTCTTTCTCTCTCTAGCTAATAGAGAATTATCGTTCGCGCAAGTCTCTCCCTCTTTAAGAATACCAAAAGAAAAATATAAAAATTAGAACGAAAGAAAAAGACCGTGGGCTTTATTCATCATTGTACTTTGTCTACGGTATGTTCTAGCCTTCCTCGCAACCACCGCTCCCCCCCATCGCCCTCTTCATCACGCCAAACCCTCGACCACTACCACAAGTACCACTACAACTATAACCACTACTACCACCACCACCACCGCCACAACCACTACCAACACGACAAGTACAAGCGTAAAACCCCCGGTAAAGCATTCGATTCATACGAGTGTCCATCACCACCACCCACCTGCGTCGAGCGCTGCCGCTGCGGCCAGGCCGGACCGCGTTAAAGATATAACCCGGCCCCAACAAGTTACGAACGAGGCTCAGGCAAAAACGGCCCGCGACCAGCCAGCTGCGGCTGCGGCCGCCGGTCCCTCCAAATCATCCTCCGATAGTCGATACGCGTCAAACCAAGCCGCTACCGCCGTCCGACCTAGTAAGTAGCATGCTCTCTCTGCCAGATAACAAACAAAATGTAAAACAAGGCCTTGTCTTCTTCTTCTTCTTCTTCGTTACTACTACTACTACTACTCTTTCTTTGTCCGCTCGTGACACACACCACTGTACAGGACGTGTTTCTGAGTTATTTTTTTTTTTTTGTTAATTCAACGTTAATTTTCATTTACACGTTCGCTGCCACCGTCGAAGCATTGTCGACAGAGAATGTGACTACCTGTGTGCCAGCGTCGACAGTGCGTCGACGGTGCGCTGATTTACCACGTTGAACGTTGAGACAGCGTGCGCATGTGTGTTCATGCCTGGCTGAGTTTGCGAAACAGTGGTATGCCCACTTGTGATTTCCGGGTAAAAGCGAACGTGTTAAAGGGGATTCGTTGAAAGAAAGGGAACTGTCTTGATAAATGTAGAATATGCAGAGAAAGTTTGATGCTACTTGTTGATTTACGTTAACGATACGTGGAAATATTTTTTTCGTCGATAGACGAAAAATCTTTTTTAGTTACGCTACTGTACATGCAAACGTATATGCAATTGTTAACCTGCGAATAAGAAATCGAACAACCCAACAACGATCAGTTCGTCGACCTGGAGTTGTACCGAAAAATATTCCAACGTTGTTTCTTCGGTTAATTGTAAAAGGATCGAGTCGATGCTTTCGTGGGTTTAATATTTTTAACGTTCCCTGTATAATGTTCACGTTATACGTGTTATTTTAAATATTAATATTTTCTCCTGGCATCTTGCAGGTTAGGTTTCGAAATATTTTGCAGAGTAACTGTATATTTATCGAGACTATTTCGTTTCTCTAACCAACTCCCGTTAACCAGTTGAAATCTCTTACATATAGCTCAGAAACAACCTACATACAAAACCGCTTTCCGTGTGTTGTTGTTGCTGTTGTGACAAATCTTTTCTCTGTCTTTCTCTGTCTTTCTCTCTATAACTCGCGACGATTTCTGTTCTACGTCGCTGTTTCGCCACTCGAATCCCTACCGACTACTCCACTTTACTCTGTCTTTTCTATGTTTTTCACCGTCTCTACTCTGTCTCTTCACTATTCTGTTTCCGTCTTTCTGTGTTCCTTCGCGGCTTTCAGAAAGTACCGAAGCCACGTCGTGGAATGGCCCCAGGCTCCCGAGAACTATCCCGCGCAACCATGGGCTTCTCTCTCTCTCTCTTCTTCTTTGCTGGAAACGCGCGTCCAGAAAATGGAGCACCTCTCTATGTAGTATATAATACCACACACCTTTCTCGTCACGCTTTCATATCGTACACGTAGATTACGTATATACGTTCTCCGTTGGTCTTCGCTTGGAACGGCCGCCGTCGCGCGTCACACCCATTTTAGAAGCATCTTTCCTTTCCGGTACTACGTATTTATACATTACTCACCGTGTATCACTCTGTGTCTGTGTACCATAAATCCCGTGGGATTCGAGGAAAGCTTTCGCATCCACAGTGTGTTCTTCCACACCGCCGTGTGTTTATCTCGCCTGAATATGCCTCTTTGTGCGTAGCTAACGAGGCTGTCGACTGTGTCTGTCTGTCTGTCCTGCCTCTTGTACGATCAGCTTTCCACACGTACTATAATAAATACATCCGTACACTTACGCGATAGTCTCGCGTTTAATAAACTTGAAGCAGAGAAACGAGTTTCAGCTGGTTTTTTCCCAACGAGCGTAAGTGTTCGTTTCTTTTCACATATGTACACTCACATATTATACACATGGAACCTGTAATCTGATACTTGTACGTACTACTACTACTTGGCTTTTTTCCATAACTGTGTCTGTGCTGTGTGTACGTGCGTGTGCATAACGAGAAACAACGCGAGTATATACATATATATATATAATTTTCTTCGTTCTGCTGCGCTCTGTGTGTTTTCTTTGAACGTGTCTGGCTCGCAGGGCTTTTGCTCGTCGATCGTCGTCGTCTACACGAGAGGGAAGCAGAGAAAAGTGGGGAACGATTATCCGCGATGTACAACCAACGGCCGGTCTACGTGCAATCGAGTAAATGTTTTCTGCGGTAGAGAGAGAACAATGGCCTGTGTATGTTAGAGCCCTTTTGTCTACCTGTTGCGTGGGCTGGTCGCGCAACACATCCGCACATTTACACCACTACCACTACCACCACCAATGTATTATCGTCACACAAACCGAAACTATAGTGTTATATATCTACCGTTTCTCTGTACCTTCACTTACGTCTCTCTCTCTCTCTCTCTCTCTCTCTCTTTCTCTCTCTTTCTCTATACATATCATATATACACTGACTGTTCTATCTATCTATGTATTTGTATATATATGTAGATATATATATATATACGTGTGTTACTTCCTGCATATTGAGTATACGCTAGTGTACTGTTTTTCTGGGATGCTCTGTGCCACCTGTGTAGACCTCTCTCCGATGCTACCGCGAAGCAACGCCGATTTTCCATTGTCTGCACTCGATGACTCGATCAACGTTTTCTTTTCGGCTATGGTAAAGAAAGGAAATTTGGGTGATATCTAACCCTTTGGCTACCGGATGATATTACTAAAATTAAAGTTTTAGGTAATGTGTGCCCCTGTAGCGGTTTTTCTCGTGGGAAATAAATCAAATATATGAAAATATGTAGAGTGTAACTGGAGGTGGTACGAGGAGGTATAAATTCTGCATGAAAAAATGAATCGAAAATATAGAATAACATTTTTTCGTAAGAGGTTTAGTTTCGGAGGAAATTGAATTTGAAACTTCGCGGGGTGAGCATGCGCATTTGCGTTGACGCGCACGCTGTTTACCCACGTAAATGTAAATTCAATTTTCTCGACAACTAAGCCGCGTACGAAAAAAATTTATTCTACGTTTTCGATTCAGTTTTTCATGTAGAATCACCAGTTACCCGATTTTACCACCCTTTACACGACACTCTATAAATTAAGTAACGATTACTTTATACCAACGTGGTGCTAATATCACGAACTCGCAGAAAAATTGCGTAAAACGATAGAATTCCGCGATCGATCGACCTGCAAGGGCTCAGAGACATTTCCATCACCGTAGTAGTCAAAGGGTTAATTTTTCAGTAGGATGTTTGGAAAAATTGAAGTGAAAGGAGACAAGAAACGAGAAATTCACGAGAACTCGAGGCATCGAGTGCAATACTGCCCGAGTACGGGCGTTGAGACAGAGCGACGTATATCTCGTCGGTAAAAAAGCGTCGATGAAACGTTCCAGTGACAGCAGAGCCGCAAATAAACGGGGACGTGACCGGAGGGGAGTCGAGCGTCGCGTCGACACCGCCGTCGCAACCACCAGTTTCAGCAACCGCCGCAAGCCCGTGGATCGACGACGAGCCGGTGGTGAAAAGCCCGCCGGAACCGACAAGGGTAAAATCTCCGGAGCAGATGATCATGCGCTCACCAGAGCCGGTCAATTGGACGGTGCCGTTGGACACCGGGAAAACATTCACTGTCACGCAAAACGTCAGAGAAGGTAGCTGATATGTTTCCAGTTTTTTCTTCATTTAACACACTCAAATTCTTACGAATCTGTCTCTACTTCTCTTCCAATTTCTTCTTAACTTTCAATCAATTCGTCCAATTACTTCTACAGCTAATAAATAAAAACATAAAGGATAATCTTTGCAGAAGAAATGTTGCTGGTAGTTTTCAATATGTAGCAGGAATTTAATAGAACTAAATAGGTACTTTGAAGGAGAGAAATATTGCAAAAGGATTGAAACACGCCCGAGTTTTTTGATAGACGTGGCCTGTTGTGAAAAGGAGAACCGTTTTGCGGCTGTGTGATTGATCGTGAAAAATTAAAGGGTGAAATTTTCAAGCTTATCGTGTTTGCGTTTATTTCAAAGAACCCCTGACGCGTCCGCATAGCGAGGCGAAGACTTGGGCACCTTCGTCGATACCGTCGGCGCCGCAGTCAGCACCACCTGAATTGGCGCACAAGTCACAGCATTCGCAACATTCCGGATACAAATCGCCAGAAAGCGAGAGCGTTTCTATCGGAAGTTTTAGCGGCTTGAACGGACACAAGGACATGGACTCGGAAAGGGACAGCCCCTTGCCAACGAGCGGTCTCGCGGGCAGCACCCCCATGCACGGTGAAAAGGTAAAATCGTACAAATGGCGAATGAAATGGGTCGATTCTTTGTTAGATATATAGTATGAAATTGTTTAATTTCAACTTGCATTTGAGTATGTAGAATTTGAATTGGAACAATGAATTTAAATATTGTAATTTCAAAATTTAAATTCAACCAATGAAATTTGAATTATTCGAGATTTAAATTCAGCTAATTAAATTCAAGATACTGTAGTATCGGCGCCTCCATACCCAAATAAGAAACCTTGAAGGGAGAATAGAGAGGGAGTAATGCGCAAAGCCTCGGCTTGCTAAGCCGTTTGGGTCCCTCGATATTTTTCCCTAGGTTCCTACACAATACTCAAATTTAAATATTCCAATTTTAAAAATTCTAAAATTAGCCAATGAAAGGAGGATGTTGAAAAAAGGTCAATTTTGGCATACGGCCGGAACGAAAAATTTTTTTACAGCATGATTCTACGCATCCTAAGGAACGAAAAATGTAATTGTCATTTTTCCCGGAAATGATGGGAAAGTTATGAGAAAGGCGGTTCAAGGTAAGAGTATGACCATACTTATAACTTAATATTCCGTCTCGTTTTCTTCGGACGATGGTCTGTTCGTAAATTAACCACTTAGAAACTCATACTGAGGATTATTTACAAAGATTGTTGTACATAAGTGTTTAATAAAAACGAAAAATAATGAAAAATAATTAATGACAAATTAATCGAAAGAAGGAATTCTTTGATAACACAATGCTTATATTCGAAGCAATCAGAAACCAATAGTTATTTATTCTCGAAGTGATAAAAGTTATAATAAAATAATCGTCGCGACAGGGATACAATAAAAAAGTAAGACTCTAACAGAATTTGCATTTCTTAACTGTGTATCCACTATGAAAGCCAAAGGAAAAAGTATGATCTTACATATCAGACTAAACATACGGTGACTCTTACTAATATTCGGACACTCTTTAGAACAGTATAACTTTTTAAAAATTGGACTTAACGACTTGAGTTTTTTTTTGAGAAGTTAGAAGGATTAGTATACTAGATGACGCGTCTAAAATTTTTTGAAAAAATTGCAATTTGTGGAAATCGTGAAGAAAATTGTAAAGGTCACATTCGACAACTTTTTTATCTGAGCCCGTAATGAAAATTTAAAAAATACGCATGCTGAAAATTTGATCGAAATCGGTTAATGTTACTACGAGCTACGAATCGTTAAAGATTGTGAAAATCTCACTGTTCTACGATGTTCGGCCTATAATTGTAATAAATCTGAAAATTCCTACATCTTTCGATACTTGTCGCTTGTTTCGATATCTACCGATTTCGATGAAATTTTCAGCATGTGTATAATTGACATAAATCTACAAAACGTATGTTTTAAATTTTCGTTACAAGCTCAGGTGAAAAAGTTGTAAACAGTGACCTTAACAATTTTCTTCGTGATTCCCACAAATTGGAATATTTTCAAAAAATTTTATACACATCATCTAGTATACTAATCCTAAATTCTCAAAAAAACTCAAGTCGTCTGATCCAATTTCAAAAAAGTTGTACTGTTCTAAAGAGTGTCCGAATTTAGTACGAGTCACTGTATGTATATGTACAGTATATTCTCCACAAGTGTCAGACCGCAAGGAAGTTAAACCGGACACTCCTAGAGTCAGGGACTACGTTTTCGAGCCCCGCGCCCGCCATTGTAGTTTACCGAACGTTGACAAGGACAGCGAATAAAAGATAAGCATGAATCGTGAGTCGAGGCAACCAAGCGATTGAAATATCAACTTTATTAATTTTTCTGATGAAAATGAGATCAAACACGATATAATTTGAACAACATTTA